CGCCCCCACTCATTAACAGCAAAGAAAGGATCCCCGGCCATTTCCATTTCCTCTGTGGCTCAAGAGCCCTGTTATTTAATCCCGCGGCCACCCCGGCCGCATCCTCAGTGCGGCGGGCTCCACCCATGCACCTGGCCAGTTCTCTGCTTCTCCCGCTTCCCTTTAGGGGAGCTGGAGGGGGAGGCGGTGATGGAAGGGGGTTTGGGAAAGTCGATTATGGCAGCCACCGGCCGTCGGCCTTCGATGGACGGATGCTCCTTAAGCCAGTGTCCGGTGAAGGCTCTGATACCTGTGGGGATAGAGTGGGAGGCAACTAGCCAGGACTGCAGAGGGCGGACAGAGGCTCCTGGCACTAAGGAGATTACATTCGGGAGTGGGGAGGCCTCTGGCTGAGTGGACAGAATGGCCCCGGGGGGTATTGGGGCCGGAAGAGGCCTGGGCCCAGTCACTGTCCACACCCAAGAAATGGGGGAGGGGTGGTCTGCACTCAAGAAAGATTCAGCCTTAAGGAAGGAACCAGATTCACTCAACAACCCCCACCCCGCCCTTCTTGAATATGGGCGATGGACGTTTTCTTAATTTCTGGTAAAAGCAGATTCAAAATTCCTTCCCCCAGCCCCGACGCCCTTGGGCTCCGCTGGTCCCAGCAGGGGTTCTCCCGCCCCCGCCCCGCACACTGCCTGCGGCGGGAAGAGATACCCAGATCTAGGTGTGTCCACCCCCACCCTGCTCTGAGCCTCGTATCCGGAGGCCGCAGCGCCCCCCACCCCCAGCGACACTGAGGGTTCCTGCCCAGGCCCGCAGTGGTGTGAAGGTTGCTTTTACCTCCTCTTGCAGGCTGGGAGGGGGTAAAGCCCGCGCAGCTGAACCAGCTGCAGCAGTCGCCGCCGCCCTCCATTCATTCAAAAAAAAAAAAAAAACCAACAACAACCTCCGCCCGAACCTCCACCCCTCTTTGTAAAAGAACTACGGCCCCTTAAGGAGCCAGAGCCAGCCCCAGCAATCACGGGTTAAGTTCTTTTCCGGCCCCCCATTCATAAAAAAAGGAGCGCAGCGCATGCGCGCGCGGGGTCTCTTGTGCCCACCCATTCATAGAATCGCGGACTGCGCGCGTGCGCACTGGAGCTCCCTTCCCTCCCATTCATAAAAAAGCCATTTTCCCAGGCAGTGGTTGCAACATCGCCGCTGAGGCAGCGAGCAGAGCTGACAGCCCCGAGCTGGAGCTGCGGGACTCCGGGAGCCTTGCGGGTTCCTCTGGCTGGCGTCTGCGAGTACAGCAGCGGCTGACCCGCTTGGGTTCGGGGATTTACACAAACGTGGAGCGATGCTTGTGACTCTGCAGCTCCTCAAAGTAAGTCTATGGGCGGTTTGGGGATCCGAAACTGCCCCTTCTAAGCCACGACGCGACTCCCCTCGGGCTGGGGCAAATGGTGCGCTATTTCCAGTCGCGCTTCTGTGTTCCTTTTCTCTGCTTGCGTCTCCTGGAGTCGCTGCGGTGCGCCGCAGCTCCTTGACGCCCTCCGCCCGGCCGGCACGGCGCTGGGGGTGTTCAAAACCTGGCACCGCCGTTCCGACCCCTGGGCATTGCCAAGCCTGACTTCCCCGCCCTCTGCGACTCGGGAAGCCCCGTGCGCGTCCCGGGAGTTTGTCTCTGGCCTGGCCTCTTTCCTCCTGCTGCCACCACTCGCCTCGGGCGCTGGAACCGGAGGCTTTGGGCTTGGTCAGGAGCCACCACTTGGGTCTGGGGGGCGCCCTCGCCTTGGACAGCTCTCCCACCCCCGGGCTTCGTGCCCACGGTGCCAGCTCTGCCGTGAATCTCCCCAGCCCGCCGCAGCGGCCTATGCTCGACGTAGATTTTTCTTGCCCCTTCGGATTCGGGACCGACTGGGTTTCCCCCCTTCTGCCTCCGGCTAGATGGTCAGCTCGGGGCCAGCCGGGCATTTCTACTCCCTCTCCTTAGCTAGGCGGTTCCTAGCCGTCTGACCTTTGCTCGGCTGCCGCGTTTTATGCTGTGCAACTACCTTGCAGTTGCCTTTTCCTTTCCCTGCCTCGGCAGAACCCGAAACTCCTCGGCTACCCCGTGTCTCCCTATCCCAGAACACAGAGCTGTGCCAGGCCTCAGGGCCCCCGGACCTCACTAGGTCTGGTGGGGGCTGAAGGTGCGTTTACATAACGCCGGTTGTGTGAGAGCTGGAGGAAGAGGTTGCGTGCGTAGGAGAGATAAGGCTCCCACTTTCCCTCCTTCCTTCTTGGTGGTACCAGGCTTGACATCACCCAGGAGAGAGAATAGAGACGGTACGTTCTGAGAAATTCTGAATCGCCAAGGCCATGGGGGGCAAGGAGGGGGGTGAGGCGGGTTTGGCCAGCCAGGGCAGCTGGAGTTTGGCTCCATCACTGGGGCCAGGGCTGTGCCCAGTTCCCCCTCCATGCAGACGATCAAAAAGCATTTAGACAGTAGCTGCTCTTGTGCAAGAAGACGGTTTCTCAATTCTCTTTGATTGGGGGCTGGGGGTTGTGGGCAGAAGAAGCAAGAGAGGCGGAAAATGGTTGCATGGCTTGAAGGGCTGAGGGATGTAGCGATTAGAGAAATGGGCTGGAGGGGCTGGATGATGAGCAGAGGGTAGAGCTGCTTGCTTCCTCTCACCAACTGCTGGATGGGCATCCATATTGCCAGGCCTGGGTGAGAGCAGGAGGCCTCCTTATGGCGCAGTGAGCCTTGGGGAGAATCCCCCACCAAGGCTGTGCTGTAAGAAAAGGTGGAGGGAGATTCAGTGGGCGTCCAGAACTAGTGGCAGCTCCCCCTCTTTCCTGCCTCTAAATCAGACCATGATTCTCTCCAGTTTGGGGAGAGGCCGTACATATCGGAGGCCAGAGAACCTGTAGAGGAAGGGAGCAAGCACATGTCTGGTTAGCAGACCAAGACTCTAACCTTCTTGACAAGCCTCTCGGGGATACAAAGCTGGAAGGTAAAAGGCCCAGAGCATTGGGAAATAGAGGTTTATCAATCTCTTAATATGCGCCGGCTGGCCTGAGGCCCTACCCAATATTGCACTGGTGGATTTCACAATGTTTAGAGTTCTCCGGATCTTCACACTAATGGAGCATAAACATCTGAAATTTTCAGCTTTTTTTCCATTTAGTGCTGGTGTGGGGTGGCCTAAAAAAAGGAGGGCTGCAGTTGGTCTCTCTTTCTCTGAGGGATGAGAAAGAAGTTGTAGATATGTCACTGTGAAATTGCATTTCCTCTATTTCCATCCCTTGGGAGGGTCCTCATGTGCTGGCTGGCTCCAGGTGAATCCTCATCTGGTGAACAGTACACACTGACCAATTGGAGCTATGTGGCTCCTCTGGGGAGGGGGAGAGGGAGCCTTTTGGTAGATTTTTTTTTTAATCTCCATGGACCGATATTTGCCATCTGGGATGAGGGAGACATTGAGGACATCTGTTGGTTATCTTCCATTTTAGATTCTGAACTCAGAAGTCACTCCTTTGTGGATTGTGGGATGCTCTCCTTCCCTATCCCTCCTGCTTGATCCCATGACTCTTTCCATAATACCTTCTTGAAAGGCACTCTCTCCATAGAGTTTTGGTTGGGGATGGCGGAAGGAGACAGAACACATAGAATAGATGATTTCAAGCTGAAGCAGATTAGGGGCTGGGCACTAGTGAACATTTGGGGCTCAGAGGTGACGTTTTTGTCTGCATCCTTCCAAGATTATGGAGAGATGTGGCCTTTTGGAAATCAACCCTTTGACTACCTCCTACCCTTTCCCGCAATCTTGTAAACCTGACATTGCATGTTCCTAAAGGGTTGGCTAACTTTCCTGAATAACAAATTAAGACAAAATGTGAATGTCAGTGATTTAAAAATTAAGGGAGAGGGAGAAACCCATTCATAAAATGGCCCTTGAAATGTGTTGCTATGGGGCTTAATACTTTTTTTTTTTTGTCCTTTGTGATACTGTGGATTGAACCCAGGGGTGCTCTGCCACTTAGCTACATCTCTGGCTCTTTTAATTTTATTTTGAGACATGGTTTAGGTTGCCCAGGCTGGCCTGGAACTTGTGATCCTCCTGGGATTACAGGTATGGGCCACCACGCCCAGCATGGGGCTTAATACTTTGGGACCACATATAGGGATTTCAGATTCTGATGCTTAATGTCCCTTAGTGTGGCATCTTCCAGCTCCCTATTTTGGGCCTCCACAAGCATTTTTTTTTTAATTTATTTTTTTTCTTAAATTAGGCCATCTAGTCAGGTAAGACCTAGATGTTGGCAGGAAGAAGACCTAGAAAGAGTCCTTCCTCTTTCTTTCAGAGAATTATAATTTTGTTCTGAATCTAGAGTACCTGTCTTCTTGGCCTCTTCTGAGGTGCAAGTCCCTTGTGACAACAATCTCAATCCTGGTAAGGATTTTTGCCCTAGTCTGTGGGTTTGACAGTTTAAAGTGTGGGGTTTGAGATGTAGAAACAAACTCCAGACATTTTAAGGCAAGGGAATAGCGAGAGTGGAGAAGGTGTTCCATCTCATGGTCAACCTGGATCTCCTGACAGGGGAAAGCAGTAACTCATTGGGGGGGGGGGAATACATATATATATATATAATTTCATTTATTTTTATATGTTGCTGAGGATTGACCCCAGTACCTCACACAATAAAGATGAGCACTCTACCACTGAGCCACAACCTCAGCCCCTGGAATATACTTTTGCTCCCTCAAAAAAATCAGAGCAGTTGGACCTGGTGGAATCCTGGTTACTGGGAAAGATGAGGCAGAGGAATCCCCAAGTTCAAGGCCCTCCTGGGCAGCTTAGTGAGGCCGGATCTCGCATTAGAGCTGCTGGGGGCCAGGGCAGAGCAGGGATGAATGATTAGGCAAACCTGCTAAGCATGGGCCTTGATGGGGAACAGTCTTCCCTGAGGGCCTGCAGAGCAGCTAGTGAGTGGTCAGCACTAGAGCCTTGCTCCCTGTTACTGGGATCCTCAGAGGAGGGCCTAGTTTTAAGGGTGCCTCTAACTAACTAAATGCATCATATAGGAGGTGCGGGTGTTGCATGATGTAAGAGGCGGGGTATTCTTGGTCTGGGGCCACCCTGCAGATCCGGGCAGCTGACAAGTCTGGGGAATGTATCCAGGACATGTGGCTGGGCTTAAGAGGCTCCACCATTCAGCTGTGATCTCGATTGTTCTTTCCAAGGACAGGCCCCAGTCAGTGGAGGAAGCAAGGGCACTGGGGAGGGAGCACAGATGTGCTGGGTCTAGTGGAGGAGGGAAGGGGCCCTTCGGGGCAGGTGGCCACTTTTAGAAGAGTGGTTTCCCTTGTCGGTAGTCTTGTCTGTTTCTGGCTCGGGGAAGGGGGAAGTCATTTCCTGCCTGGTCCCAGGAGTAAGCTAAAATCTATTATTGTCTGTTCATTTCTTGGTGGAGGGGAGGGTAGGGAGACAAATAAGACCATCTTGATGTGTGTGGGAAGAAGCTCTCCCTTGGGGGTCTAGGGTTCTGGTCCCACCTTGCACCTTGACTTCGTCCAGTACTTCCCAAATCATGGCAGTGGTTAGCAGGTTCCTTCTAGCTTCCTAGCTCCCTTTTCTGACATGGCTACTAGTGTGTGTGTGTGTGTGTGTGTGTGTGTGTGTGTGTGTGTGTGTGTGATGCTGGGGATTGAACTCAGGGCTTCCATACACTAAGCAAGCCTCTACCACTAAACTACACCCCTAGCCCTCTGATTCCTCTTTTTTTTTTTTTTTTTTTTTGGTGACCCTGATGTGATTTGAACATGATTCCTTTTTACAGGATCTGAGTAGACAACAATTAATGGGGTACTACAGTGAAGCCGAAACTTGAAGCTGGTTAAAATTACCCAGAACCAAAGTACAGCCAGTCTCCCACCCATTATGTGCTGGGACTTTGGAACTCAGCTGATTGGTTGTGAAAGAAGGGGAAGAAGTACTGGGAATTGACAACTGGTGATAGGGTAAAGTGATGAAAAGCAACTGTTTTCTTTTGTGATCTCTGATAGATTGAGGTGAGCTCCTTAGTGCTGGTGCTGGGGGTGGGGAGGGGTGCTGGGGGCAAAGCAATTCGAGGAGAATGGAGGATTCCCAGACAAACCCAGCTGCCTTAAAACCTTTATTCTCCCACTGGGCCATTCTCAGCAGAGTTTGTCTTCCTCCTTAGGGTGCAGGGAAGGACAAGTCCCTGGCTTCCTTTGCGTCCCTTCACTTTAGAAGTCTTTTTAAAGCAATAAGTCAACATTTGGTTATAGCTTCATTAACTAACACAGGATATTGTCAAAAATAACCAAGCAATGGTGGTTGAAAGTGGTGGGCGGGCTCTCTGACAGTTTAAAGACCTTTTTTCTGAGTTGTTAAAGGGTTAAACAACCTTCACTGAAAGAACCCCCAGAGACTCAATGGGGCAGTGCAAAAACTGCCCATTCAGTCAGAGCCTTTTGCCAGTTTGTCATTAGCTGACCTATGGCTTTCAAAATACAACTGTCAGGTTTTCCCAATATTTCCCAACTCCCCTCTCTAGGGTAAGGCCAGGGAAAGATGTGGGTGGGAATAGGCATCTGGCCCACTTGTGTGAACCCAGTTGTGCTGGGTGATTAACAGACTTCTTGCTTCTTTGCACCTGGCCTGTAGGTCTGCAGCCCTTCCCCACAGATACAAATGGCAGACTGGCCAGCTCTGGGCTCCCAGATGTGCCAAACAGCAAACACCAAAAAGGCTGTGCATTCTGGGGGTTTCCATGTCCTGGGGGTTTCCATGTCCTGCGGATTTAGTCTCCTAGAACTTTTCTGGCTTCCTTGTACCTCACTTCTTCCCTTCCCCACAGACTTGTCCAGGAAGCGCCATCCATAAAGGTGCTTAGGGACCTGTAAATTCAACTTGGTAGATGCAGAACAGAGGGGATTCCCTTTCTAGGGTTTCCTTTTAAGGATTGCTTTGTAGTGAAATCCTGTAAGTGAGACCCATTGGATTTTAAGGAAACTAAAAATGAAAATAAAGAGGGATGAGGTGACAGAAAGGAGAGCAGAGAAAACTGAGAAGTTGAGATAACTTGAGCTCTGTGCCTTCCTTGAATGACAGGAACTTACAAACCCTTAGCTTCCCACTCTCCACCACAGTGAAAACTCTAACTGGGGAGCAATCTGATACAAGCCCTGACTGGCTTCATTTCCCTGCTCACTGAGTTACTGAGACCCCAAATGGCCTGGTGAGGTTCCCTGGGGGTTGGTGGCAGACTGGGGAGGCTGAAGAGGAGGGGGGTGGTCTATGGCTACAAATGTGACTGGTATTTCCATGAATACTCCGGGGTTAAGGAGGGCTGCATGGCTGAGTTCACAGCCCCTGCTGTCTAGGGTCTCATCCTGCCCTAATCACTCCCTATAATTCAGCCACCCTTTGTGTTTTCATTTCTAACTCTGTGGAATAGGTACTATACTTCAAGGTGATGGCAAGAGTGCTTAGCCAGAGCCTAGAAATGCTTCCTAATATTAGCTGCTTCCATAATTATTATTAGAATGTTGAGTGAAGGTGAAAGTTCTCTTGCCTTATGCCACCTAAAACTCCAAAGAGATGCTTCTTTGGCTAAGTGCAGTGTTGGCTTCATTTCTCTTTCTAGAGTCTTCCAAATTGGCTATCAGTCTCTTCCAAATAGCCTACATGAGGCAAAGCCTTGTCTCCTATTTATAGTATGAACCTCTTCCTTCCTTGGAGGGGAAGCAGAGGTATGTATTAAACTGCACTTAAAACCCAGGGTAGTGGTGCATGCCTGTACTCCCAGTGACCTGGGAGGCTGAGGGCAGCCTGGGCAACTTAGCAAGACCCTATCTCAAAATAAAAAGGGCTAAAGACTTTACTCAGTAGTAGCCCCTGAGTTCGATCCCCAGTACTGTTAAATAAGTTAATTAAACTGCACTTAAGATGCACAACAGCATTCAGAGTAGAGGGTAGGCATGTCCCAGGATTTGCAGATTGGTCTTCTAAACCAGCTCTCAGTTTTTATATTTTTGAGACATCATGGAGCTGTGCTGGTGATTTATCAAATAGAAAGAACGGGAATTGTTTTTCTTTTCTTACCAGCCAAATAAATTCATCAGGGGCTCTCGGAGGGCCCTCCTACAGCAAGGGTCCCTGTACCAGGCAGGTGAGGCCACAGGCCTGAGCAAGTTTAAGCAGTGAAACTCTGAGCCAGCCATTGGTTTTTGCTGAGCTAGTAGCCGGAAGAGAGATCCTACATGAAGGTTATGGTAGGAAGATAACATTTTAGAATACGCCTGCTGGAACCATCAGATGCTTCTTGTCCTGAGAGAGCTGAGTCATCATAGGCCAAGCTCCCACCCCGATGTCTGGCCTCCATTGCAGGCCCAGATGTTGACAGCTGCCTCTGGGTGGGGGGTGATGGGAACCTGCTAATGCCAACTTCCCCACTGCTTGCAGTGTCTGCTCCCACCCTGGCTTCCTGGTGGGACTTTTCATGAATTGGGGAATCTGCCCACTGATTCCAGAGCCCCTTAAAATCCCTGAGCATTGCCCATGGCTTTTGTTTCATCTGCCTGCAGCTATTTTCAAAGAGTTCCAGCAATGAACTGGGAAAACAAGAGTGGATAATCTGAGATGCGGGGGTGGGGTTAGGTACCTTTACTGTTCTGGTAGCATGGCCAGAACCCCAGAGCTGAGACAACCCCAGCTACACGGGACAATATCATCTTCAAACTGCCACTGATATTTTGTTGGCAGGACCTGCAGTATTACTAACTCAGGCTTTTGGAATAAGGGGATCGTGTTGTCTTTGTCTAAGCGTGAGATTCCAAGCTGAGGCACTTCTTGGAGGGTGCCAGAGAGTCTTATCCATAACATTTTTCATTATACCAAGTTCAGCCTTTTTCCTCTTGTTAAAAAGTCCCTAGGCTAGGAATTTTGGCCCCTAATCCTGCCTGGTCTGTTGACCCTCGATTTCATTTATTCTAGAAGCAAGGCCTTGAGACTCTACTTAGAATGAGTACCTGAGATAGCATTCCCTGGAAAAACTTCAACCCATAAGTATTTCCTTGTGTTCTCTTTGTCCAGCCCTGACCACAGGATCCCCACGGCAGGCTGCCTTGGCAAATAACTACTCTGGTGGCAGACTCACCAGATACCTAAGGCAAACTGCTACTGGGAGGACTCCTAACTGAAGATGATGTTCTCTGAAGAGAACTTTGGGGCAGGTGATGTCACCAGGTAGACTTTATCTAAGATAGGAAAAGGTGTATAAAGAAATTCCAGCATCTTTTAAATGGGCAGGGCCGTGGGAACAGAGTCAATAGTTGGTCCCCTGTGTCAGTGGGAAATATCAGTTGACTGAGCATTAAACCTTGTAGAAAAGATTTGCCTTTTTTCCCATTTAGCAGTATAGATGATACACAGATGAGCCTTGCAGAACCCTTTTTATCTGCTTCATCTAGAGCTAGTTCTATTTGATGGATTTGAGGCACCTAAGGAAGCTCTTCTTCAACAATTTTAACTGGCAGAGGAAGTAACATACTGAGTTCATTTGAATGCCTCCTTATCACTCTCCTGTGATTGGAATATCTAGATGGACCCACAGTGTCCCAAGTCCAGAGAGATATGGGATGAACTACACATGGAAACTATCCCCATCCTCTTCTTCAGCAGCTCCTTTGAGGGAAAGTTAACCTATTAGCTGAGGGATAGGGTCAGCTTTCCTAGTTACAACGTCATTAGCATCTTGCAAAAGCTTTTACGGAAACATCACCCATAACACTAATCCAGTGGGGTTTTTTTTTGTTGTGTAGCCTGTCATCTTCTCCTTCTACACCCCTCCCTCCTCTCCCCATCCCCTGGAGTTCTTAAGGGTGGAATCTTCCCAGAGTCTAATCTGTCCCTTGGATTCCAAATTGCATCCCCTTGAGCAGAGGTCTCGGCCTTCTGCTGCTATTTCTTTAAATTGATCTCCATCCGAATTCCAAATGTAAAGGTCAGCAGGCAAGGAAATGGCACTTCTAATAGAAAACAATGTGCACTTTCTAAATTTGAACCAAGCCGTTTCCGCTCTTTGATTTAAGTGACTTCCTGGGGTTCCGTGTCAGGCGCTGCAGTTGAATCTCTGGCCAGATGCCAACTTAAAATTGCACTCTCTCAGTGAAATTAGAAACTGATCCAGTGTTGGCTTAGCTATTCTAGTAAATAGCATTTAGGCTGAATGTTCAGCTCAGCACTTGGAAATGGGCGAAGTGAGTGCCCCTTGAGAGGATTTCCCATCCAAGGTGTCAGAAGCTCACCTACCCAGGAGTTATTAGCCACTGGAGGTTGCTACCCTTGGAAGTAGTAGTAATAAGTTAATATCCTGGATGTGCAGGCATCAGATATAGCCCTTCCTTGTCTTGTGAATATCTGAAATAATGGCTTTTGTTTATCCAGCTGATAAACTCCGTGGGAGCACACAGGGGCGGTTGTGTTCAGCACCCAGCGCAATGCTTGGCACGAAGTGCTTGTCAGTGCTCACGGAATCTAAACTGTTCTCGGGTATGATAAATTGTCAAGTACTTGCCATGCACCAGGCAGTGGGCTAGGTCCTGGATTTGCATTTTCTTATTTAATCTTTGCAAGAACCCATTTACATGGAGCTGTAGCTCAGCGGCAGAGCATGCGTGAGGCACTGGGTTTCATCCTCAGCGCCACATAAAAACAAATAAAATAAAGGCGTTTAAAAAACCCATTTACAGATGACAAAACTAAGGCCTAAGGCATAGACATGAAAGAACTCATCCACAGACACGCTGGTAGGCAAAGGTAAGAATTCAAACTCGGATCTAATTCTAGATTCTGTGTTTATAAATGTTGAGCTGTACATTTTAAATGAGCGTGTTTCACAGCAATTGTGAGAATAGACTCAGACTGCCCACGTTTGAACCTTGGTCCTTCTATTAATACTTCTATGTGACTTTGGACAAGTTACTTGGAACATTAGTTTTTTGTAAGTAGAAAAGGGGGATAATAGTTGATAACATTTTACCATTGTTGTAAAGAGTTAATGACTTAATGATATACATGATACTTAAAAGAGAGTAACTTAAATACTACTTTTTAAATTTTTTCTTTCTGGGTATCAAACTAGGACCTCATGCATGCTAGGCAAGTATTCCCAGCCCAATAAGTGTTATTTCAACCATTATTATTAGTAGTATTGTAATTATTAATATTAATTATCTAAGCCTTGGATGTGACTGGAAAGTCCACTAAGGAAACTTGGGAATTGAATTCCCATTTTACTTGGGCTTCCAAGGACTGTTGGGGGGATGGGGGGGAGACCTTTAACAGGCTGCATACTGATTGATGCCTGGAATCCATTCTCTCTTCCTTTTCCCCACTTTCCCCCAGGGCCCTTAGAAGCCTGTTTCTCGGCGCGGTCCAGGACCTCCAGCCCCATGGAGCCCCCGATCCCACAGAGCGTCCCTTTGACTCCCAGCTCAGTCATGGTGCAGCCCCTTCTTGATAGCCGGATGCCCCACAGTCGGCTCCAGCACCCACTCACCATCCTTCCCATTGACCAGATGAAGACCAGCCACGTGGAGAACGACTACATTGACAACCCTGGCCTGGCCCCCCCAACTGGCCCCAAGCGGCCCCGGGCTGGGGCCCCAGAATTGGCCCCAACACCTGCCCGCTGTGACCAGGATGTCACTCATCACTGGATCTCCTTCAGTGGGCGCCCCAGCTCTGTCAGCAGCAGTAGCAGCACCTCTTCTGATCAGCGGCTCCTAGACCACATGGCCCCACCACCTGTGGCTGAGCAGGCCTCGCCCAGGGCAGTGCGCCTCCAGCCCAAGGTGGTCCATTGTAAGCCACTGGACCTAAAGGGCCCAGCAGTCCCACCAGAGCTGGACAAGCACTTCTTGCTGTGCGAGGCCTGTGGGAAGTGTAAGTGCAAGGAGTGTGCGTCCCCCCGGACGTTGCCCTCCTGCTGGGTGTGCAACCAGGAGTGCTTGTGCTCGGCCCAAACCCTGGTCAACTATGGCACGTGTATGTGCCTGGTACAGGGCATCTTCTACCATTGCACCAACGAGGACGATGAGGGCTCCTGCGCTGACCACCCCTGCTCCTGCTCCCGTTCCAACTGCTGCGCCCGCTGGTCCTTCATGGGTGCCCTCTCCGTGGTGCTGCCCTGCCTGCTCTGCTACCTGCCCGCCACCGGCTGTGTGAAGCTGGCCCAGCGTGGCTATGACCGCCTGCGCCGCCCTGGTTGCCGCTGCAAGCATACGAACAGCGTCATCTGCAAGGCAGCCAGCGGGGACGTCAAGGCCAGCAGACCCGACAAGCCTTTCTGACACTTTGGGTTGAAGCCCCAGTGCTGTCGCTAGAAACAGGATTCCTCCTGCCAATCTTCTGAGGCTGACCTTGCTTCACATCCCTGGCTTGGGAAGAAGCAGGCAGAGACAGCCACCATCACCCACCCTCTGTTCCCCAAAAGGATGAAGATGTACTCTGGGTATTTTTAGGGTCTTGGAACTTTGTGTCAAGCAGACAGTGGCACGGGCAGGGTGTGATTTTGGGGGGATTTTTCTTTTTCAGAAGACGGAACACAGATGTGGACGCATTTCCCAAGTTGCAGCTGCTTGATGGCCTTTGTGCTCCTTGCTCCTCCCTCCACTTTGCCATTATCTTTGGCTCTCACAGAAGCCAGCTGACTGCCTGGGAGGAATTGTTAACTGAGGGCCAGGGTAACCTTGAAGAAGACCCTTGGAGTCTCAACCTTCTTCTTCCCCTCCTCCCTCCATACCAGTTGGCTCCTGCGTCCAGGAGAAGGTCTAGAACACCCTAGCCATTCCTATTGTATATACTTGTGAGTCGCTGAGAACAGAGGACAGCAAGTGAGTTGAAGCCTCATTCCTCCCCCTGCCTCCCCAGAACCACAGGATGGATTTCGGAGCCACTGAGCAGTGCATTCCTCTCTCTTGGCCACATCACTAACTTGGGGTGTCCGCTCAACACACCGTCCACCGGTTCTTACCGAGTCACAGACTTGCCCACCTGCTCTGTGTCCTGAGTTCTCTCTACTCAGATCCTTTCCAGAAACTTGATGGGTAGAGGAGGCCAGGGGAGCACATGCGAGACCAAATATCATTTTGCCAATGAGTCTGAGGCTGTGGTCTCTGGATCCAGTCGCGATGTTTTTATAGAATAATTAAACCAGATGCTAACGGTGTTTTAAAAAATAATAATAATAAAACAACTTGCTTCCTTTTGGGCCACCCCCAGGAAGGGCTGATATCAAAATCTGGGGGGGCAAGCGACCTCAAGGAACACAATTCCCCTGCCCACCAAGAAGAGGATCTTAACAGCGAAGAAGAGGCAGCACCTCTCATTGGCAGAATGACAGCTGAGCCGAGCTGGGGCTGGGTTTCCTCTCTCCTGATTCTGCTGCTTACTGTCATAGCCTTTGTGTATAGTGATCGCGTCTGTATCTTTATGTAAATAGAGATGGTGAAAAGAGTATATTTTAGTGTTAGGAAGCCCCAGCGGGGGAGTCAGAAGAACTCAAGAGAGGGTGGGAAAGTTCTCCAGGGGCCCCTGGGATCAAGCCCTGCTTTTGTGCACAGCACACCCCCCTCCCGACAGCCCCCAAAGACGTAGCAACTCTTTCTTTCAAGGTGCTAAAGGACTCGGAAAGTGCAGCACGTCCAGTGGGTAGGTACTTGTTGCATGCAAAAGCTGTAGTGTGTCTGGTCCTCCCCCACCCCGACCCCCACCCCCACCCCAGCTATTGTGTGGGGGTTTTTGCTTTGTGTGGTATGTTGTGTCCCACCCCCCCCCCATCTGTTGAGAGGAAATGGCCTGGGTCAGAAGAGATACCCAGGTAAAATTGGAAGCGCATTAGACAGCATCTGTAGCATTTCCAGCTTGTTCTATAGAAACAGAACTGCCTCCGAAAAAGGAGGCAGGGAGCCCCGAGTGGCATGTACTTCATGCTTCTCAAGGACTCCTCCTTCCCTGCCCTTCGGATATTAGTAGTTAACATCTTATGATTTAGAATAAGTTAATTGTAACCATAGGTATTTATTGATTGGAGGAAGGGAGGGTCTTATTATTTTTGGCTTTATTTATGTAACATCTGCTGGCTTGTAAAAGGCGAGTATAAGGTATTGATTGCATCTTCATTTTCCAAGGCTAATTCACATAGCTCCCCTTGCCACAATTGTGATGGATGTATGGATGTTCTTGCACAAATTGAAGGGAATGGTGAAAACAAACATTCAGCAACCACTTACTCATTGAATGTATTGGAAGTGTGCTGAAGGGGCTGGAGAGGTTTTTCCTCAGATGAGGTGTGCAGAGGTGCCCCCCCCAAATGATAGCACACGTGCACTCTTTCCTGCAAGGCCATGGGATTGGTTCTCAGGACCCCTCCCTCAAAATTGTCTCCATGGGAAACTTAACCCGGTGGCAAGTTGCACTTTGGTGATCTTGGTCTACACACCCATTCTGTGGAGAATTGGTTTTCATAAGCTGTGTACACACACACACACACACACACACACACACACACACACACACATGCATGCACACATTCACACACACACTGACCCCCTACTGACAAAGACCCCATTTCCTGGCAAATGGCCTCCTGAACCCTGACTTTTTGTGTACATAGTTGTAAACACGGATCTTGTGGGTTTTGGTTTGCCTTCTTTCTTTTTTCCCCTCCCCTGTTGTGGCTTGTGTTTAACCTGCTAGATCTGTGTCAGCAGAACTGTCCCCAGGAGTCCACCTCTGTGCCCCGCGTGCGCAGTGGCGAAAGGGAAGCAGTGAAGGAAGCGCCCTGGGTTCTCCCAGCTCTGCCGTGCACCAGTCCCCTCAGCATCGGTTTTCCCTGGCTCGTTGGCCAAAAAGAAAAAGAAAAAAAATGTGGCTTGCCTGTGGGTCCTCCAGCCCTTCCCAAGCCAGTCCAGAGCCGTGGAGGGATCAAGCACTGAGAACACATTTCTGTAGCTGCTTCTGGCTGGTTGCTTGCTGTCACCAGCAGCTTGCTTGGCTGGATTACGTCTCATCTTGAAAAGTGCCAGCTGGTTCCCACTTCTCTTAGACCTGGGACTGGGGTTGATCCAGGACACTTTGCCTAGGTTTTCTGTGGCTGCTTGCCTGCCCCGCCTTGAGGGTGGGTTCATGAAGGCCGGCACCCCAACAAGCACCCTGGGAACTGGGTCTAAGCTAGCAGAACCCTCCCAGATCAAGTGATAGGGTGCAACCAAGGCTCCTCTGAGAAACCAGCTGGAGGTGAAGACTGGTCCCTTCTGTTGACCCTTCACGGCTGACAGACAGAAGGTACGCATGTGGTGTGGGGTTTGTTCTGTGTTTGGAGTCTACATTGATTCCTGCTGTGCATCAAGTGGGACCCATTTAGACAGACTTGCCTGAGGTTGCACACGTAAAAATTGTGTCTGGCCAGAACCCAGGTGACTGTCACCTTGAAGTGTCATGTTCTCCTATGCTGCCCCAGGAAGTGTGTGATGGGGTGCAGGGATGCAACTTTGCTCTGTACAGTTCACTATGGCATCCTGCAAGCTTCACCAGCCCCCTGGTTCATGCCTTTGGTAAGCATTTTCATGCCTTCTCTGCTTACTGTGACAGTGGATGTCAAATATTGCATTGCTATTGTTTGGCTGTGGGTAGCTGCGCGTATGCAGTGTTCTTCTCTTGCTCTCTCTAACTTGCTGCCCCACAGTTTGGTTTCGTGTTGCAAGCAGTAAAGCTGTTCCCTGGCTCCCCCTCCACCACATTCCTACTTCATTTTCCCCTTCACTATAGCCCCTTCTCACCCCACCACAAAAAGTTACCACAGAAGGTTTCCTTTGTATAGAATATTTATTTTGAAGCTCTATTTTAATAGTATTTATTTTAGAAAGTCTACTATTGTAAGAGTTCTTCTGTTTGTGAAGAAAAAAACAAGTTAAAAACTGAATGTACTGATCTAGAAAATATCTATAAATATATATTGTTAAATATACACAGGTTGTTTTCTTGTGTGTCTGTGTGTTCAGTTTCTGGACCATCCTCACCTAGCAAGGCCTTTGGCTTGTCAGAAAACACTGCATCAACTGCAGGGAGCAGGGTCCTTCTGGGCTGGGACAGACCCCTGTCCTGCCTCTTGGATGACCTAAGAACCTTGAAGGAAAGCTTCACTTTATTGGGAGACTGATGACCACCAGATGCTGTGAAATCCTCTTTCCTGGGCCGGTGGTCTCCTACACGGGGGATCTTGGTAAGGTGGGGAAGAGTAATCTGATCTGTCTGTTTTGTGAAAATTCTGCATCTCTTCATTTAGGCCTTGATTCTCCCAAATCTATAGGCTTCAGGAAGCCAAACCGAAAAGCCCTTGGTGACTTCCTGGTTTACAGTGGATTGATGGATATTGTCCAAAGCCAGTTCCTTTGATCACTAAAGCCTTCCATCCACTAAAGTACTTGTCTTTGCCCTTCTCATATACTTTCCATTTGATTTCCATGTCCCCCATCCCCTCTTACTCTCAAACTTGGTAAGACCCAGCCACTTCTCTGTTTATACAACTGGGGGGATAATAATTCCTGTTACCAATCAGGAGAGATGACCAATGATGGTTAGGGGTGGGTGGAGGGAGAGATCAGGATCCCTATTTCAGTTCTTGGTTTTTCTAGAGATCACCAGTTATGGCCTCCCAGGCTCCTTTGTGAAATACAAGCCTTGTTCCTTTGGAGACATCCAAATGCCTGCCAAGGATCTCCTGGTCACTGCCCAAGAAGGCACGAAGTTTCTTCAGGGTGTTCTTGTTTATAATAAAACTTTGGAATAAAAGTAGGCTTGGCCTCCCTCTCTATTGCCTGACCATGTGGCCTGTCCCCTCTCCAGGATGGACAAAGGTTAATTAGTGCCTCAATTCTTTCTTCCCCATCAAGGTAAGTAACTGGCACTTGGGGAATAATTTATTTTTAATCAGCTCAGTCCTAATTGGCGTCTACCATACTTTGTCTCTGTCTTGGGTTTCTTTCTACTGGGACATAGGGTAGTCACACACACACCCTCACTGGTTTTTCTACTTTGTTTCTAGAATGTAGGGGATTAAAGCCACAAAAACTTGTACCAGGTGTTGAGTGCTTAAAGTCCCACCCACCCAAATGCTCTTGGGGAAATGGAAGCTGGACTTTTCCATAGAAAAAGTTCCATGGGCTTCTCTTATCTTTATCCATCTGGTCCTATTCCTCTAGATTCCTAATTAAGAGATGGCTTTGGGGTGACAATCATGGAATTTTCTTTTTTGCTTTACACTGAATATGTGTGGCAGATATTATGGTTATTTCCCTTAGAGATGTAGAAACCGGTCCAAAGAAGTCACGCCTATTGTGTGATGAGAGGTAGAGAGTAAAGACAATTTAGTGACTCAATTTGGGGACAAAGAACATGATGGAGTAGATAGAAGGCTCCCCAGAGATCCAGTGTAAAAATAAACAGGAAGGAAGGGGCTTGGGGTGAAGCATAGTGTTACAGCACCTGCCTGGCAAGCAAGAGCCCCCAGGTTCAGGCCCCAATATTAGAAAAAAAACATGGGAGGGGTGCAGATTTTAACCCTCTCTTTGTCCATGACCATATATCCCCTAAGAGGACATCACACCAGAACAAATGGTCTTGGGGGTAACTCTGGCAACAACTAAAACACACATACACGCACACACCCCTAGCCTGGTCATCTGTTCAAGAGGCCCCAACTCTCTCCATAGCTCAAGTGAGCTCAGTTTTCGGAAGAACTGTGAAGGAATCCAACAAACCCAGGCAACAGGCTCCATGCTGGAGGTGTGAGCCGGAGGAAAAGCCAAGAGGACATTTTTAAGAGCCTTAAGTTTATTCATCGGGACTTTAATAAAACAATATGTCCATGGCCTGGGGCAGGTATAATTTTCATAATTTATAGGTCTCTGAGACAGGAAGAGAGCTCAGGGTTTTATTGTGTTTTGCACGATAAATGGCATTCCAATTGTCTACATGATGCTCTTTAAGGACTCTTGTCTGGCAGCGGCTCAGGCCGTCTGGAACCCACCTGGGCCTCGAGGCCCGAGGCAAGGGGTGATTATGAATACATCTGTATGTGTTAAGCAGGAGATGATTGAAAAACTCCCTGGGTTCCTTCTGTCATTAGAAGATACTTCCTATGCCGACACCTATATTAACATTTAACTGTTGCAAAAGTTTGGAGCCATCCCTCATCCCTTTCCCTTCCTCTCCCACCCTCTCCCTTGGGCCCCTTCACTGTATCTGAAGAGAATCCAGTGATGTCCTGACTGGCTTCCTCCCCTCCACTGGGCATAGTGGAGGGAGTAGCTCAGAGAGAGGTCACAGAGCGATGGGTGAGGTTCTGATTGTAATCAGCAGTTGGAAAACCTGCAGACAGGGCTCTCTGTGAAGCCTCAGGGCAACAGACCAAGCGGCCTCAGGATATAATTACAGAGGATATCACTTCTGAGCACAGATGCAGATTCTTGTTTACAATCCTGAAAACAATTAAACTAGGTTGATACAATCAGCCTCATTACAGATGAGAAAATCAAGGCTTAGAGATTAAGTTGCTTGCCCAAGGAACTACACGGTTGATAAGAGGTAGATCTGGGATTCCAACTTAGAGGATCCACCTCCAAAGTCAGTACGCGGAACACTAAGAAGCTTTTATAAATATTAGGCCAAACTGTGGACCACCTCCCCTGGGATGCCTTCCTGCATCCCCAGAAAGAGGCTTTCTTCCCCTGGGGCTTCTGTGGAAGTCAGTAGAATAGGTAGTTTGTTTAAACCAAGAATATTTCCACTGTAACTGAGATGGGACTTGAACCCAGATCTCACCAGTGAACCATCAACACCCCATATAAAATCCTAAGGGCTCATCATCAAGCGGCTTGGGAAGGATCCTCTGTGACCATACAACATTGCTACCATCCCTTCTGACATTGCTCAGAACAGCATTCCTGATTTCCTCTACGACAGAGAAATAACTGGAGCTGAGATGGCTAGGGGCAGTATCTGGGGACAGAGCAAAAATCTTCAAGGTGAGAGAAGGAAATGTAGATGGCTTCAGATAATTTGAAAAGTCAAAGTCTGTTGACTTCATGGGTAAGTGAGGAGTACGCAGGACAGTGGGCATAGGCTACGCCGCCCTTCCAGGACACAGACGTCTTCCTCTTCATGCCAGCTTTGGAGTAGACGGCTGGAACAGGGACCAGAAAGCCAAAGTGTCAGGGAGGAGTGGAAGGCAGTGAGGGAGGCGTTGGGGACTCCCCAAGTTAAAAGCAGTGCCCACTCAACCCTCCAAGCGCCCCTTGACCATTTCTCAGGCACTGATCCAGCCAGCCCGGGGTTACTAAAGCACTGTGTCCATCTAGGCAGGTCAGTTCCCAGAGTGGGCCTAGCAGGGGCATTGTGGCTCTCTTGAAGAAGAGACAGCTACTTCCACAAGGCCACTCTTAGGAAAATGGGGTAAAGAACACAGAGCCTTATGGTCCTCTGCGTGGGTCCCCCTCACCTGTGGCCTTCACCAGCTGTGGTGTTGGGGGGAAGTACTGGGAATGGGGCCCAGAGCTTCGGGCATGAGGACTCTACCACTGAGCTCACTCC